GAAAATGTTATCATTTCGTAATTAATTATCCGCTTGTTAGAAAAACGACATGTGTAAGAGATGCGTGAAAGCTGTAATATGTTTACAAACTATTTATAAATACCAATTGAGCGTAATTAAATGAATTTCTTATTATAAAAACAAAACTCGTCGTATATCGTGAGAATACCGTCGGTCCATTGGTTTCGAAGATGGATAATTTGCAAACTATTTTTAATTATCGCACCCATCGTATTTCTACATTTCTTAACTAATGGAAAAAATATACTATAAGGAGAGAATGAAATAATAAATAATTCAAATTTAAAATAATATTATTTAACAGGGATTTAGCATTTCAGCTTTTAGCATTTTAGCGAGCGGAGTAACGCAAGGGTCACGTGATTTTTTTATACACTGGGGCAGACGAGCTGGTAACTCGTGCTTTCGGCCTGTCAATATTCTAATGTAAGAAAGAAAAAAGATATGAAATTAAACTCCACCCGCCATAATAATACTTATATGAATATAATCGTTGAATTATGCAGCTCGTAGTCTTTCACAGTTTATTATAAAGATATTCAAACAGTTCGAAACAATACCTTCCTTTATTTCCTACATACGCTTATGCATGCCACTGTCGGGTTGAGGATGGACCGCAAAATGTTTATGTTATATCCTCACTTTTCCTATGTTATATTTATTCTGCTCGTATATTATTTCGGATACCTCTTGTTGTTTGATGACATCATTCTGATGGACGGTTCTAACATTAATATAATTTTACGACTTTACTTTTTTCTTGGGGAAGAATCTAATTCATTTATAATTGGCAACATTTTATCAACAACGATGTAATAATGTAAATGGTTATTTCATTGAAGAAATTTTGACATTTTAAAATTTTTACTTTTTCTCAACGTTTTACACAAATACAAATCCCGGCGAATGTATTTTTAAATTCTCAAGATGAAATTCAATCTATTTTTTCAGATATAGTTTCTCGCTACAAAAGTATTATAAATTTAAAAGCAGTTTTTCTCGAGAAACGATTCTTTTTCATCTGCAGAAATGCTTCTGAAAACATTTTTTAATCAATCTGTTGTTCACGATTAATCCTACGTCAGCAAATTATTATTATAAAGGTATTTTTTATTTGTCATTTTTACAAATGTTGGCCATTTATTTTGATTGCAAACCTATTATTACTCACACATCATATTTTGGCACATATCGTCGAGAAAAAGAGCATTAAAGCTTTAATTAGCAACATTTTTTCTTTACAAAATACATTATCAAATATCCATCTTTTCGAGCACCTAACAGATTACATCCGCAAAAAATTAAGTAATAAAAGAATAAAATACTTAAACTCTGACATTCTATATTTATCCATAAATATGAAATGAATAGAGAGAATCACATTTCACGAAGTCTGAAGATTATCGTTACCATTTTATACTCAACAACACAATCAATTACAATTAGAAAAATGCAATATATATTGGCCAAGTTTTTTTAAATCTTGTGCACTAAAAGAATTCATATATTTGTTGCAGATATTTTTAGGAATATATACTTTTTTTCAACTGATTATCGTCTGTCTGTTTATTTATATCTTTCTATTTTTATTTTTCCATATTATCGCCCTCAAATGCAAACAAACAAGCAAACACGCACACACGCCCGCGCGCGCACGCACGCATGCACACACACACACACCGAGAGAGAGAGAGAGAGAGAGAGAGAGAGAGAGAGTCTTTCTCCCCATTTTTTATTTTATTTTGTTCATTATTTTTAATATTACACGTATAATATTAATTTATATTAAAAAACAAAACAAAACAAAACATTAACGTTGAAAGACAAATTTTTGCAATTATATTGCCTTTTTTCTAACTTCTTTTTACCGATACAAAACCAATTAGCATTGCCCTTTTAATTATATGCATCGATTGATAATACGTATAGAGACTTTTTTTTACAATTATTCTAATTGTATAGTTATATACTTATATGTAATTCCTAATATTTGTATACTTTATGCAATGCACTTTGTAGGAATAAAATATAGGAAAATGAAATATAAGAAGAATACTAATTAAAATAAATTTCTAATAATTTCTTAAACAGGCAATAATTGAAAATGAAAATAAATTCTTCGAGTAGAGTTCCGAACGTGCATGCAATATATGGTTTTTATCATAAAAAGCTGCATGAAATTATTAGTGAAAACTTTCTTATAATATGAAATAATACATTATTTTATAAAAAATTAATTTTTAAATGTTCAAGTAGGAGAAAGTATTTTCAAGCTATTTATGATCTGTTAATAGATGATCCAACAGAAAAATGTATGATAAAATAATGTACTATAAATACGTAAAGTGATATTGCTATAAATTTTCAATGCTACAACTTCTTACACAGCGTACGAGTTTGTGCTTTCCGAATATAAGTTTGCGCTTAAACGGGAGCTTCGAGCTTTTTGGTATTATATATATATATATATATATATATACACGCATCCATATACACACGCGCGTACACACAAACACATATATGTACACACGAGAGTGCTAAGAGTTGATTATACGTATAATGCGCTGGGATGTACTCTTGGCACAATTCCAGAATTTCTTTCCTTTTTACCTTTTTTCTAACATCATATAGTTGTAGAAGATTTAGAGTCTCGAATTTTACTTCACATGATCTCGCAATTTGTCTGATATTAGTACTTGACGTATAAACTAATTTCTTCTTCGTAGCAGTGTCATTGGCATTGTCATTATAGGTTATCTAATTTTTAATACCTTTCCCAATTGTAAAAATAATATTATAATAATAATTTACATTATCATTATATACTAATTTTTCTGAAATGCATGTTTATTAATCGTTGAGCAATCACTATATGAAATAAGCTACGTTTGCTCAAAATAATACAAGAGATTTTATAATATTTTAACATTACTATACGTACATAAAACAATAACTTTTAAATGTTAATGTAATTTTTGGCTGTTTATTTAACTATTTATTTTAATGAATGAAAGTGGAAAAAAAAAATATATCTCATAATGAATGATAAAACATTGATTATAGAAACAATCGATAAATTCTGAAGGAAAATGATCAACAAAATGATCAATTCGAAGGAAAATCATCATCATTTTTGGGATATCGACATTGAGACATTAATTCTTGAATGTATTTTAATAAATATAGTTGATGTATAATAAAATACCCATTCAAATCAAATTAAGTATTAAATTAATTAAAATAAATAATGTGGACATTTTCAAGCGAATTGTAAATTAAATTGTACAATGATAATAAATTACTTTTTAATTAAAAATATTATTAAGCATTCGAATCCCTAAATTTATACCGACTCTTGTAAGTATGTCATTTACATTGAAATTATAAAATACATAACACACGAAAATATTCAAAAACACTGATTATTGCAAGCATTTAACATTAACAATTACTTTCGGCGTATCAGTTAAAAAAAAAAAGAAAAAAAAAAGCTTTCTCTTGATACTGTTCGTTGCATGAGCAGAGGCCCGATATTTTTACGAATGCGTCTCCCTGCTATATAATTGCTCTAACTGCTGTATAATATGAGAAATAAACCGAGAAGACAAAGGGACTTTTGTTAAAAATAAGAAAGAAAAAAAATTAAAAGATAAAAATAACAAGTAGTCTTTGCCTCCAATCTCGGCCCTAACCGTGCGACCCGGTAGTAATTCACGAGCATGTCGCAGCAAGAGCGCGGCCAAGGAAAGGAGGTAAGGTCCGAAGGTCATGGCTCGGTGGTTTCAAGAACTGCCACGAACTGTTTAGGCTTACACCAGGAGGGGCAGTCGTCGGCTGCTGCGGGCTCCAGCCATCCAGATAACGTGTGTGTGTGTGTGTGTGTGTGCGCGCGCGCGCGCGCGTGCGTGCGGGGGTGGGGCTGTTGTCCACGATCGAGCAGGTTATACGGGCGCCCTCATGGCTACTCTCCCGTTATTTCCAAGCGAAGGATGATGGCACGGCCCTTTCTTTGTTTTGCGAACTGAGTGCGGGCGAGAGCTGGGGGTTGGGGCACAAGGCGCCACTCTCCTGTCCCGATGGCGCGCGACTCTCCACCGTCCGCCCGGAACCGAGCAGCATCCGATGATTTTACCGCGTCCGCTCTTGCATCGGGAGGCGATGGCGTTTACCCTCGTCGCTTTAGCCAACGCTTTATCACGGGTCTCTCGCGCTTCTTCTCTACCCGTGGTCGCGTCTATGACTTTGCCTTTTAATTGGGATTTAAAGCGCTTAACAGCTGCTATGTGGCTCCAAGTTATTCCACAGCCAATGAACGCGCGATAAAAGTCATTTATCAAACTTTATGCGCCAATTTTATCGCTTGCTACATGCACGATACGCGCGATCGTTGGAACGGGTAGCGCAATTTTTTTTATAAAATAATCCTGCTCCTCTCCTTTAACAAATTATATCTATTTATTTGACATTGTGTTTTATCTCCTGTTTTCTAGAGGATTTTCTCTAATACTATCGCGACATGTGTGTTCATTAATCTATTCTCCAATTCTCTTACGGCTCCTTGTCTCTTTTATCGAAGAGAGTCACACATCGCAGACGAGTTTCTCAATCACCCTTGGACTTATTTTTAATAATAACCTTACCTTACCCTAATATGGCCTTTATTTTACCGCTAAGTGAAATCATGAAACAAGATATCGAGAGGATGAGACGATAGGATGATATAATGATAAATTATCGAGCTTATGGTCATTAAGTAAGACATTGACACGTTGAGAGTGCGAGTCAATTATTTATTCGAGTAAATTTCTTACGTCGAGACGTTATTACACGTTAGAAAGGGCCAAAAGTTGCGCGTACGACTGCTATTTTAACAAATATTTTCATATAGAGCGTACCTCGCCAATCGTGAGAAGCCTAAGGACGAATCGTAACGAGGACATGGGCAAGATGTAATGCGTTTAAGCGTCGGATAGACTCACCCTGGGCCTTGGCCGGCCTGCTCTTAAGATCGAGGTCGACAGGGAAGGGCTCGGCGCTCTGCTTGGCAACGGCCGCGGCGATCTCCCCGCAGCCGCTGCCGATTGTGATGGTGGCAATGGCGCCGATGGCCAGCCCCGTGGTCACCCTCGGTGGCGAGGAAGAAGGTCCCGCGGACAGCGATGGGGCCGGTTGCTGGAGCACGCTCGAGCAGCATTCCTTGGCTTCCTCCTTGACCTTGATCTTATGGAGGACTGCGCTGCTAGTGGCCACTCCGCCGCCCTCCACCTTCATGCTTCTGACTCACCGCTCAGGATCAGTCCTTAGACCTACGGACCGGGAAGGAAAATCGATGTTACATCTCTCTATTATAGCGACTGAGCTTATTATGTGTTGCTACGTTGCGCGAAACAACGACGGCTTTGCTCGCTTATGATTATGTCTAGCTTGTTGCATCGATTAATGTTTATTTAGCTTATGAATTAACGAACGGACCAACCACTTACGCTTGGAATTTCCGTTATCAACTTACAAGCTGGAGCTCGAGGAGCTTTTTCATCGCAAAGCCAATACCAGCACTAGAGGCTTGACTCGTGAATGCGTTTTGTTGCGTACGAATATAAAATGGAAGAATACTCAGAAATGCCGTAATAATGGCAAATTACGTCATAGCATTTTCGGGCACTTCAATCTCTAATGTTTAGTATTATGAAGACATTTATTGAGCGCGTGTACATATGCTCTCCCATGCGTACTATGCATAAACGATCCGGAAGGTAAGCTACGGCTGCGAGAAAAATACAATTCAAGCGTTTATTACCTCTAATAGTCTGAATTTTTATTCTGCTGGAATGGGGACGGCTTACGATAAGCTTACCTTGCCGGCTAATTCATGAATTTCGAAGGAATAAGCAACGAGTATGGAGTAGTACGCCGCATTTAATAAACATAATGTTCAAAAGCATGCGTTACGAAACTTATTTATGAGAAATTTGCATGGCGCATTAATTTTTTTTTTGTTTTTTTTTGTTTTGTTTTTTTTTTTTTGTTTTTTTTTTTGTTTTATGTTTTTGTTGGTTTTCGACTAATTTCATGGATATATTAATAACTTGACATTTGAAAGTGTCGGATGCGATTACGTAGAGTTTGCATGAATTTTGAAAACGTTAAAAATACATTAGCCAAGGATCGCGAACGTGCCTACTCATAATAAAAGTAGATAATGTCTTCGGGAGGTGGATGAAAACGTCGGTGGAAGCGGAGGGACGAAACGGGTGAGTCGTGAGGAGGGACGGAAGGCAAGAAGAATATCGCTTGAAAAATGAGTCGCAGCGAGGATCCGTGAGAGTGGCCGGTTGGGGGTGGGGTGGAGAATAATCGAGACTACAAGCAGCGCGGACGATTCGAATTTGATTGATTCGAGAGACTCGGCGACAGCCCTCGCACGGGCCTGGACTACGTGTCCTCAGCATCCTTGTAGCTCGCCTCCTGCATACCGATTGCCCTTTTAACGAGGAGCGCCGGTGCGAGAGTATTTTCCCCGTGCTCGTTTTACCGCTGCTTAATGAATGACAGCGCCGCGACCTTTCGCCGCTGCAATGTTAATCAATGAGCGTCGATACCGTGGCCGCATTGGCACAACTAATTCGCCTCGTCGTTTGCTTTCCCGAATGCTTTTCACGCGGAATGTTCATTAACGAAGCTACTCCGGGAGCAGTTTGTTTCGTCAACTGCTTAACTGTTGCTCTTCAACAATCATTGGAGTGTAACCATCGATCGATTGTTTTATAATTTGCGCGATTTTCAGTGCATTTACTTCGCTGTTTAATAATTAATCATCGGAGGATGGAGCTTGGAATCTGCCCTTCGTATCATTAGAAACGTATCATTAGGCTCGTTTTCTTTTAATAACTCATGTATTATTAGTTTCCTTCGTTCACATTTTCATTTCAATACAATTAAAAAATTGCCCAATCGGAAAATTATGACGTCGACACGCCGTTATCCGATATGTGTCTCATCGATTTGGCAGTCAGCTTGCCATTTATTGGCTACGAAACAAATCGACGCCCATAAGATGTCGACCGAGAAAAATAATAAATCATCGCTGCATATTATTACGATTCGTCCTTAAGACATGGTCAATGCAATTGCAAGTAAAAGTCTGCTCGCCCGGTTAGGCCAAGCGACGAAACAATAACCGCATCTTAATCAATTAATTGATACGAAATAACGGAGTGAAGCGAATCTCCGGTCTCCCGCAACAATGCCAGCCCCTCCCTCTGTCCAATATTACACCTACCCCCGTCACCGTCCCCGTCTTCGACACCGACCCAATTATCGATAATTATATCTCGCGAGGCTCGATCGCTCGATCGATCCATATTTGTCGAAAAGCATCTCGGCATAATGATGCCATTATGGAAAGCCTGCAGCTTGCGATGAAAGACTCGAAGGTCGAGGAAGTCAAGGCGGCACGCGGTGCGCGTCCGCTCGATCAGCCGACGTAATAAAAGCCAGAGATGATGGTGGGAAGGGGGAGGGAGGGGGGGGGGGGGGGGGGGGGGTATGGTGCGCGTCAAAAGTCGCACGCCACACATCGACGTTTATAATACAGCGACTGTTTTATATCCCCCGCGGGCGGTCGCCCGAGATAAAACAGAAACGGTCGGGGCACGCGAGTCTCGGGGTCCGGGGATCTACGACGACGACACGGGGGTCGCGACCATTTGAATTAAATTTCAGAGAAATCGAAGAAGGCTGCGCGTCCAGCTCCTGATGCCGTTATCCTGGATTACGTTGAGCGCGCGCGCTTTCGCCGATCTCCTTTCACCGCACTGAGCGACAGCCCCCTCCTTTCCTTACAACCCCAGAGGCTTATTCACTACTTTATCCACGAGTGCCTACCATAGGGTACTTTCACGTTTTATACTTACTCGCGTAATTCCGACAAGCCCTATCCGCTCGTTCTTTCCTTCTGCTTTTATTTGGTGATTTGGCCTGGAAGACATCCACTTTCGATCGCTTTTTCCACTGAATGGCGCATTTCACAGGCACCGAAATTAAATATATACGCACTTGAGCTTCTCGTTTGTTCGTTCGAATACTACGGAGCCGATCGCTAAGTATACCGAGAAACTTGAACTTTATTTAAACAATTCTAATGCCAGTTACTACTTAATTATTCAATTATTCAAGCCAATTGTTCATGAATTGCAATACATCTCGCTAATAAATGTTGTATGTTGACGAATTTAACGCGTAGTAGTTTGACAGCTGAGCATTCCATAAGAGATTCAGAATAAATCAGAATATTTATTTATGTTACATTTATCTTAGGTAGGCTAAAAAAGATCGAGTACGAGATTAAACGAATAAGCAAATAAATAATAACGTGTTAAAGCCAAACGCGCCTGAATTACAATCTTAGAATCGATGGCTTATATCGTGGGCTTCCATAATTGACGATCGTTGCGATTTTATTTTGTCGAAGATTTCTTTTGTATAATCCACTACGTGAAATCTCTGTTATTTCCGATTTTTAAACATTTAGTACAAACATTAAAATAAAAGTTCCTTTATTCCAACTAATTCCTGCTCTTGACACGACAATATTAAAATAAGATAGATTAAATTTAATATTTCCGAATTGTTGTATCGAAATCCATAGTTTTATTAAATAATTAAATATTTAATTCCCTTTATAATTAAACGATAGATATTTAATTTAAAAATAGGATGATACACGGCACATTCGACCAAAGTTACGCGACTGTTATTTCATTCGAATATGTTTTGAATGATAAAAAGATTGTATCGTACCACTGGAAGCTCAATTTAATCGGTTTACAGGACAGAATAAAAGCCGTACTTCTATTTCATTTCAACCAATGTGATATTTTTGACAGTGTTGTGAGTAAACTGTATAAATAAATCAACGTCTTGTTTAAATTATTTCGTCAAAGGTATATATATATATATATATATATATATATATATATATCGTAAATAATGTGCATTAATGTTTACGATTACCTAGTACAAACGATTTTTAATGTTGAAATGCATAAGCAGACCTTTAATATATTGTTATGATTTTTTTTTACAACTAAAGATAGTCTGATAATTTGTAAATAATGCATAATATATTAAATCTGATATACAGGTTTTTTTCTTCTTCTTTAATAGTCTATTTAGAAAATGCAAATCTAGCGAATTAAATATATATATATATGAAACATTTAATCATTTTAAATTTTGTAAAATATGCGTAAGAGTAAGTTGATTTATGAAACGTGTGAGTGTATAGGACGAATGAACGTCTATTAGTTTGAATCTGTTACTACTGCGCAAGGCCTTTTACGTATACATTTCTGCTTCTACATTTTATCCATCGTTGCATTGTAGTTCTTTTACTTTCTATTAAATCGCCGATATCCCAACACGTATTTTAAGATTTGCAAATAAATTACATATACGCATATTATAAGCCAGTTGAGCACTTAATTTTCATTTAAGTTATGAATTACATTCGTAATAGCACATATTATTAACTACTGAAAAAATCATCCATTTGAAATTATCCATATAAAATGCTAAAAAAATTATATGACATTGAAATGGGGTTTGAATATTGATTGGTAAAAGCGATCTTCGTTAGCAACGACGAATAAACGCAAAATATGAAGATGATTTTTCAAGCAACGAGATAGGGAAGGGAAGAAGGCAGCACAAAACGTTATTGGTCTCCAGTGGGAAGATGGACGAGCTTCGTCATTCGTTAAGGCGCTTAGTTAAGTAAACAAGCAAATGGTTGCTCTGAAAGTTAAGTACGTGCTGCAACGGAAAATCCGTAGCTTTTCTCGGCTTATTCGCATACAGCCACTCAAATAACATCAAGTGCTACTATCCAGCGCAGGCGTTCGCTTACTCTTCTTCAATATATTATTCGTCCTCCCAAGCTTTTTTCCGTGCAGAGGCAACAAGGCTAAAAATTTGTACTTATTATCATTTAAAAATATATTTCTTTTTTTTTTTTTATTAAACATAGGCGAGCCAATAGTTTACTTTGAGTTTTAGTTTTGCGTAATAACTGATAAGCTTAATGAAGGGAGAAGAAATATTGCGATTCTCTATATTTTCTTTTTACAATGATGTGTATTAATTTCTTTGATTATTTTTTTTATTTTTTTAGATTGCGCTTTAATCAGTGCTTTCATATTTTAGAAGATTATAAAATGGGGAGAAATGTCGATAATAATAAGTTGCTTTTAAATACATAAGTGAAATGAAAATCTATTACTTTTACGTATTTTGAAAATAAGA